AACTTTCTGTTCCTGGCGGTTGGTACTGCACAGCTTCTCAACAATGTCTGGTGCGTGTGATGGAAAAAGGAAGTGCAGAAGATTCCATAAAGAAGTCCTGTGACATACCTGCAGCGACTCGAAGGGGTTCTGGACCAAAGGCAAGTTGTGGAGCCAAACGCTGGTAGATTGAGAGGGAGCAACTGCCATAGGAAAAGAGTCCAGAAAAACATGTCCCAATGCTGCTCTGCTCTGTAAGCTTTGCAATGAACGATTAGAGACTAAGCCAATCAAGCTGTGGTTGTTGCTGGGTACAGCCCCACGACATGTGGTAAACGGTTGTAGCGCTTGGTCACATTGTACTGTAGCCGAAATGTGGATAAATGGAATCCACTGGTGCAGCTCCAGAAGATCAAAATACCCCAAATCCTGAACTGCGTCTTGACAAAGTGGTTGATATCTGGGTATAGCCCCACTATCGGTGGTGAAATGTCGTGGATCTTGATGTATCTGAACAGCTGAGGTCCATCCATCAAACATATCCCTTGGCAATGTACTGTCAGTCTTGCAGCGCAACTGCGGTAAGTAAGGAAGCCATCGAGGTCGAGACCTGCCCAAACTGGAGAGGTCTGCAGGCCAAACTTGTAGTCGCAATGCCAAATCTGTCCGACTGTGAAGCGAGTCACCAAGCCAAAAGTCACCAAGACTGGATGGAAGCTCACTGTAGCCAGTGTCTGTATGGCCGTAATCAAAAAGGAGGCAAAGATTGTTTTCACCAATCCTGGAAATATTGGAAAGCACCTGGTTGGAAGCGGGTACAGCCCCACGAGATATAGATAGATGTTGTGGATCTTGCATCATCGTATCGAAACTGGAAGCACAAAGCTGTGTTGCTCCTGTAAACGTTGATACCGTCAAAAGCAACTGTGACCCTTGCATGGTTCGAACATAGAGCGAGTCACTGGGCCAAAAAATGGCAGAGCAAAATCGGTGATAGTAGAGTATATCCTCTGCGTCATCATAGTCGACGAGAAGAGGAGTAGTGTCTTCATGGCAAGGTTGAGAAAAATGGAAGTCGGCCGCCGTTCGACTGAGGTCAAAGAGGAAACAAACGTCATCGTCATAGTTCACGAAATTGCTGAAAATCATATGGTTGTCACTGGGTACAGCCCCACTCGATGTGGTAAAATGTGGTGGGCCAAGATTCTCAGCACGAAACAAGACGTCTGATAGGCCGTAGTTGTCAAAGAATGGATATGCCTGAAACTGCAAGCATGACCCTGTCTTGATCTGAACTTGGAGCGGGTCGTCGTGCAGCCAAAAGTTTGCAGAGCACGATAATCTGGAGACTGGCATGCGACCGTGAGATCGAGGGATTCCAATGTGTCCAAAGAAAAGCTCGCTATGCACCGAAATGATGATATCATGGTTGAAAATGGGTACAGTCCCAGTACATGTTGTTGAATGCCGTGGAAGAAGGGGAGGCTCATTTGCACCATATATGATTGGCTGTGGATGTGTAGTTGCACAATATGGCTCTTGGAAGTCAGAACAGGACCGGCAGGTCTGCGTGAGGTGGAAGTTCTCAGAAATCTGAGAGAATTCCGACGCAGGAATCTCTGCATGTCCTTCCTGAGGCAAGCAAACATCAGCCATAGTGTTGTCCACATCAGCTTGGATAGGCGAGCTCATAAGAGACGACATCCAGAACCTGCCTTTCATCCAAGGTTCATGAAACTCATTCAGCTGAAGAGTAAACCTGGAGCCTTCGGTTTGGTGTTGCAAAAGAGTCGATATAGCATACGTGGCATGATTATCTGGCAACGAAATCTGCAAGCTCTGATTATGATGATTGATGTTGCAAAATTGGTGGGAATCGCATTCGGTAACATCCGGAGGTGAGGACCAGAGCACTTGTTGGTATGACACACTTGAGTATGGTCGTCAAAATGACCTACACATCGATCAGTTCGCAAACATTGCATCTCCTTCTTGAGCATCGATCGACCTAAAAGTCTTGTGGTTTGTGGGCCCCGCACCTCATGGTCGCTGCTGTGGCGGAATTTAGAAAGTCTGGTCCTCTTAAGACGGTGAGTCTGGGGAGGAATTAGTACATCTCGTATGCCTCCGGTGGTTTCCCTGTTCAGCCGTTCTGGGTGAACCGGAATAGAAGACATACAACCCAGAAACCTGTCATTGCACGGATGGACCTTGGATGTAAAATCGGTGCGCGAGCCATTATCCGATAAGTGGAGATCACTTCGAATCGAGGTTGACAGATGAGGTGGTACATCTGTAGACGTGCAGTTACTTAAGTTGTCACTCTGGTATCGGATGCGTCTAGCTGGCTTCAAGTTGTATCGGATTCGGTGTAATTGGCAAAAATGGCGGAGGTCGATAAAGTCTGGGATGGAGGAGACCAATTTGGTTTCATGACTGTGGTTATGAGCCCAAAACTGTTTCACGAAATCGGCATGGTCATCACACAAACTCGAATCGTTGGCGTGGGATGTTGGAGTTCCCTTTCCGGGGATAACATGCGAATGCAATGCAGATGATGAATTCTGGCTTGACGAGCGAAAGTCAAAAAGGAGCTCACATCTATCCAGAAAAAACTTGAGAGAGGAGGGGGTGAACGAAAGGTAGCAGGCAATCACAAGTAACCCTGCTAGAAGTCCATGACGGCGTGACACGGCGCAGGGGGGATTTGATCCAGGGGGGGTGGGCCCCCCCCCCCGACGAACAGAATCAACTTTTACAGGACCAAACTCAAGGCACAATCCCAACTCCTGATTGTAATACATTTTTGATAAAGCAAGGAGAACTCAGGTAGCTCAAGCTACCTTTCGTGACAAGTGGTAAAAACCACTTAAGCACGTCTGGCATGTGGGCATGGTTGCTGGACTTTGCTGCATCTTCGTGGAAGCATGGAGGCATGGAGGTCTTCATGTGACAACAGCCTTGTCAGATGGACAGGGAGCTGGCATTTACCAAGATGGCAAGGTTGACCGCCATTCAACTCAGAATTGTCAAGTGTTTGCACCGGCTATGACTTGTCAGCCAGACTGGGAAGATCTTCCCGAACCATGGGCATACAAACATGTTATCAGTGCACCTGCACATCCAGATGTTTTGCGCACGGATCAAGATAACTTTTTGCCGGATTGGTATGGATCTTCGCACACCATCAATAGTACATCTGCTGGCAGTGTCTACAGATTTACCCCTCATAGGTGTCTAATTTGCCCTCAATCCTGGGTTCTGAAAGTTCATCGGACTCGAACATTTGAATGAACTCCAAGGCAGAACCCTTCGGCTGTAAATCATGAGTGGAACGACCATCAATCATAGTTTCTCTGACATCAGCGTGAACCGGTGGGCTTACATCAGTTGATGTCCGGAACCTTCCTTCCATCCACGGTTCAGTAAGCTCATCCTGCTGGGAAACTAACCCAAAGCCGGCGGTTTGCTCCACCGAGGCATATTGCTGTGCCCATGGTTCGAAGAACTCCTGCAAAGGACGATAGGATGAATCTAGCGCACTGCGTGGGGTCTTCGACTTGTCCTGGGTCAGAAACAAGTCTTCCTCGGAGGAATGAGTCGGCAGCTGGCATCCAAAGCGGAGTTTACCGCCTTCTGTCCACGCCAAAATCATACTTTGGTGATCTGTATGAAAGGCATGCAGCAAATGGTTGGCAATCTTGAGCTCCATCTGAATGCCGTCTTGAGTTTCCACAGCCAAGATGCTGAAGCGAGCCGCACGATGGAGGGTCATGACAGGTGCGACCTGAAATCTTGCAGCATGCCGCCATGTCGAGGTTCCCGAGAAGGTCTTACGAATTGACAGATGGTCATATACCATGGCTCGATCGGCACCTCACAAAAAACTTGAGAGAAGGGAGACACGAAAGGTAGGACAGCGGGAAGAGAAGAGAACGCGAGAAGCAGGAACAAAAATGCAATGTTCGACATGGTGATTTATCCCCTCGGAGGCGACCTTTCGTAAATCGTAAATATATGTTCATATGCACTCTAATTGTTCAAACATATGCTCTGGAAATGTTCAAAAAGATTCTTAAGAAAACAAACTTGCCCCATGGATCAGATCATCGGTGAGCATTGAATCGGAGCATCATAGGGTTTGAACTATCCTGAAACCATAAGAGGCTCACGAAGACGCTCCCCAGGAGAGAATTGACGTGCTTCACAAAACAAACTCTGGTATGTATCCTGTCGGGGAACACCTTTCGTGATTAGAATTTCATATGCACTCTTTCTAAATGTTCAAGAGGGTTTCAACTATCCTGAAATCATGAAGAAGGCTCACGAAGACGATCTCCAGGAGAGAATTGATTTTAGAGGGGGGGG